AGAAGAAACTAGACAAGTATCTTCACCAGGTGCCAGATCAACCAGGCTATGATGGATATGTGGGGCAGCGGGCCTCCAGCAGCAACAGCCTGGTTGACCAGGCGAGCACTAGACGAGCCGGGCTCAGAGAGTAGATATACTCTCGAAATTCTTCAAAGGTAAAGGTAAAGGTATATCAAAGGTATATCCCTTCATAAATGTTACCCTGTTCACACACCAAGAGCATGTCACATTGAAAATTATTTACCTTCATTTCTTTGTAACACATTCACATAAATCTGTTGGATGTCCAAGCCCATAGCACATAAAACCTCCTTAACTCCCTCTTTCCAACTATTCCTCAAACAGTCCCTATCCCTCCTTCCCTTCACTCCAGATTTATATACCCTCGAAGTCATCATATTTTTCTCCAGCCTTTCTAAATGTCCAAACTGCCTCAACAACCCCTGCTCAGCCTTCTGGAAAATATGTACTTTTGGTAGCCCCACACCTCCTCCTAATATCCAGACTCAAAGTCTCTGCACTATAATCTCACCACACATTACCCTCGAACACAGCATCACTGTCTTCAGCCTCCTCCTTGCTGCAGCATTCACAACCCATGCTTCACACCCATACAACACTGTTGGCACCACAATATTCTATTACATTTTCCCCTTTTGACTCTATGGATAAAGTTCTTTGCCTCTTCAGTGCACCACCCACCTTTATTCCTTTGTCATTTCTTAGGTTCACCTCATTTCTCATAGAACCATCTGTCAACAAGTCTATTTCCCAGATATGTGAACACATTTGCTTCCTCCATGCTCCCTCGCTCCAATCTGATATCCATTCTTTATTGCCTAGAATTTTTTATACTCTTATCACCTTGCTCTTTCATATGTTTGCTTTTAATGGCTATCTTTTACATACCCTCCCAGATTCATCTATCAGTTTTGCAACTTCTCTTCAGAATCTCCCAAATGAACCAGTCATCAGCAAAAAGCAACTGTAACAACTCCCACTTTATATTGGATTCATTATCTTTTAATGCCACACCTCTTCCCAACACCCATTCATTCTTCATATCCATACAACATCCACACACATTCAAACAACCCACCTTCAAAATTTCTTTTGTCTCTTTAGTAACATGTACAGGAGAAGGGGTTACTAGCCCCTTTGCTTTCGGGATTTTAGCCGCCTTTTACAACACTCATTGCTTACTAAAAAAGAATTCTCACCTGCACACCCTAAACAGTATTTAGTTACAGGAGCAGAGATAAGCTTCTGGTGTACCTTCTTTAGTAATATTTAGTCTATTGTAAAATTAGTAAAGCTTGCACATGTAGCACTTACTACTACTTGTGAACCATCCCATTGCACTGACACTGTGAGAAAAGACTTTCCAATGTTCTTTTAACAGTTTTTATGTCTTTATAGTGCATGTTCTTAGTTATTTTTTTTTTTAACAAGTCGGCCGTCTCCCACCGAGGCAGGGTGACCCAAAAAGAAAGAAAATCTCGAAAAAGAAAATGCTTTCATCATCATTCATCACTTTTACCTCACTCATACATAATCACTGTTTTTGCAGAGGTGCCCAGAACACAACAGTTTAGAAGCATATACATATAAAGATATACAACATATCCCTCCAAACTGCCAATATCCCAATCCCTCCTTTAACCCTTTGAGGGTCGCCAGGCCCAGAGACTTGTTCTCAGGGTCGCCAAAATTTAAAAAAAAAATTATATTTTCTTATGAAAAGATAGAGAATGTTTTCCCGATCATAATGACACCAAAAGTATGAAATTTGATGGAAACTTACGGAATTATGCTCTTGCGAAGTTAGCTGTCTTGACGATGTTTACGCATCGGCAATTTTGCCCACTTTGAGCCCTATTTTCGGCCAATTCCAGTGTACTAGTCGACAAAAATCATAACTATTTTGCTAGAACTCCGTTTTTTTCTGTCAAATGAGTACAAGAAATCACCCATTTACCAATTTCAACTATCCAATAAAGTGGTCAGAATTTAGCAATTTTGCCAATTTCACACAAATTTCAAAAGATGCCAATTTCCAAATAGGGTCCAGAATAAACAAGAAAGACATTCCTGGCACTAAAATAACATTTCCTCTGTTTATTAGTCACATCCCCACGCCCCTCTTACATTTCTTTTGCTTCCCACTTTGAATTTTTATTCTCACAAAAAATAGAAGATTTACTGTTATGCAGACTACTGTATTAGTGTAGAAATGGTATAAATAATACCAACGCACTTGTGAAAGAATATTAGATTCACCAGTTGACGTGTATTGGACGCGTGGCATGATTTGTTTACTTTTGACCTTTGGTAAAAATCGAACATTTCTGCTACTTTGAGCTCAATTTCAAGCTACTTTTCATTGTGAAACCAGTCAAAATCATCTCAATTTCTGTAATATGTCTTCCATTCTATAAAATAAGACCAGAAAAACTAGAATACAACCATAAATACCAAACTTTACAGTGTAAAGTTGCTGTTTTAAACCAAAAACACGGTCAAAGTTTTTTTTTCTCATTACGCACTGTGTTCTGCAGGACTTCTTTTATACTGTGCACACTGACCACATAGACCCATTCTTTCATATGTAGGCTTACCAGCTTTCTCTTGCTAGATTTGAGGGTGCTAGAATTTATGCGTACTAGTACGTCAAAAACCCTGGCGCGTAAGCCGTACTAGTATGGCTGAAACCCCGAAAGGGTTAAAGTGCAGGCATTGTACTTCCCATTTCCAGTACTCAAGTCCGGCTATATAAAAATAACTGGTTTCCCTGAATCCCTTCAATAAATATTACCCTGCTCACACTCCAACAGCTCATCAGGTCCCAAGTACCATTCGTCTCTATTCTCTCCTATCTAACATGCTCACGCATGCTTGCTGGAAGCCCAAGCCCCTCGCCCACAAAACCTCCTTTACCCCCTCCCTCCAACCTCATTTGTTTCACTTAAAACCAGGACATTCAGCTTCTTCTCATTCATAACATCAACAATCATCTCTTTCTTATCATTCGCACAACATCCACCCACATTCAAACATCCCACTTTGACAATTTTCTTCTTATTTTTAGTAATCTGTACAGGAAAAGGGGTTATTAGCCCATTGTTCCCGGTATTTTAGTTGACTTTTACAACAAGCATGGCTTACAAAGGAAACATTCTTATTCCACTACCCCATGGATATAAAAAGAAGAGTAATAAGAACATTAACTATTAAGATAAAATCAAAGAAAACTCAGATGAGTGTGTATAAATAAACGTCTACATGAATGTGTAGTGTGACCTAAGTGTAAGCAGAAGTAGCAAGATGTACCTGTAATCTTGCATAAAATATCTTAGTATAAAATTGTTAATTTATACATTAAATCTTTCATTTTCCGTCAGTTAGCTCCATGTTGTTGAGGCTGTGTTGCTCGTGTAAATCTATGTATTAATAGTAGAGCTCTGACAGATGTTGTGAGTGGTAAATTTTGGTCTAGACATGAGAGAATGGGTGTGCCTGGCGGGTGTGCAGTTTGTAAAAAAATCCTGCTCCTTGCAGGGATTGATGGGAGTAGTAAATCTCTGACCTTGGGTTTATGTAGATGTTTTCTAGGGTGGGTTTGTTGTTTTATTTGTTGTTTCTTTGTGTCAGTTGCTATATCAGAAGGCACACTAGTGAAGTGAAGATGATTTCAGTCAGTTTCAGACTGGTAGTGACCTCAAAGTAGCAGAAATATTTGATTTGTGGTGATTTTCCTGAAAAATGGTTGGGGCTCCATACATCCCAATCCATTTTGTTTGATAGGTTTTTACTCTGGGCCTGTTTCAATTATTTAGATGGCCTAAACCATCCAAGAAACCTGAAGAATAGGTTAAAACTTCAGTTTTTTCTTGTGGTGATAATTTCAAAATGGAGGACAAATGCTATACCATAGAAGAGGTCTGGGAACATATTTGTTGAACAGAGGAAGGGTTATTTTAGTGGCTGGAATACTTCCAGTTTTTTTAAACCCTTTTTTTTTAAAATGACTTGCAAAATTGTAATGACATGAATGCCTGTTTTTAAAGTGGAATTTTTTTAGTTTTGTGTATAACTGCCCAAATTACTGACTTCTGGGTTATTTATAGGGTAGTTCTGATAATTGAATTGGCAGTTTGTGTGTTCAATTGATAGAAGAGAAGGATTAATAGTGGAATAGCCAGGAATTGGGTTTGTTTGATCAGTGGAATTGGTGTAAAATGGGAATCAGAGTGGCTAAAATCATTTAAATTTAATTACTCACAGACTACTAACCTCATACTTGCATAAATTGGTAAGTTTTCCATCAGTTTTGCATTTTTTGGTGTCATTACTTTCAGAAAAAGATTCTACCATTTCAGAAGATGTTTATATTTTTGAAAAATCTTGACACTGTCAGCAATTTTAATTTTGAGGGTGACAGCAGTGAAAGAGTTGAGCATATCTTGGAGCACCTGAAAGTTGCCTCGTTCCCTTCCCTTCCTTCCCAAGGAAAATTTGTATGCCAATTTTTCATATGCCAGTAGTCTTTTTTTTTTTTATTTTGAATCAAAACTGACTTAGCTTAGATTAACCATGCTAAAATTTCTACTAAATATAATAGCTTAATTTAGCTAGCTTATCTAAGAATTTATTTAATAATACTTTAATGATTTCCTTAGAGCGAGATGAAGGCTTCCTTTCAGGGGATTTACTCTCTCTTGATCCAAGGAATCTGAGCCTCCTTCCTCTTCCTTCGTATCAAACTTGATTATCTCAGATCCCCCTGGCACTGTATAATTCTATTGGGTTCCGTTGAATACACATTAATAATAATTTTTTTTTTAAATCTAATACTGTATTGTAAGAGATTTAAAAAAAAAAAGCACATGGGTTTAACTTTTACTACAATTAATTTATTTATTTATTCTTGCTCTGTTGTAATACAGTGACTTAATGTAATATCATGGAGAAATAAATTCTATGTATCATTTACACAGGTTGGAACTAAACATGGAGCTGCCCACCGGTGGAACATCCACTGTGGGAGTGAGCGCAACACAAGCCAGCCAGGACCAGGATGAACTCACTCAGCGACTGGCCAAGCTTCGCAATGCTTGATTCTTGCAAGGGGGCCACCTGCACCCCACACTTTTTCCCGTGGAACGACCTCAACCAAGGTGGTTGTTCACTCTGATCGTGATTGCCTTCCTTAACCAATACCACTTAGTTATCATTCAGATAATTACTCTGATTAGTATGAGATTTCTTCGGGAAATGGAGGGTTTGCATTATAGACGTGTATTTAAGAATGCTAGCAATCTGAAAGTGCTTAAGGAGGGACTGAAACACAGTCCAGTTTTCAATTCTAATTTTTGGGCTTCTAAAATGCTCACTTTATTTTCTTAATGTTATTAGAAGTGTATCAGATTCATATATAAATTATATTTGCTAAGTATTGGCACGAGTTCTTTGTTAGTTATGGAATGTTAAGTTTAGGCACTATACCATAGTTTATTGTAAAGACTCGGTGGATTTCAATGCCGTGTTGCTGGAAATAGTGAAGAAAGAAAACACGGCAGAATCAGAGTAACTTTTACTACAATGCAATACTATTTTTATTTCTTTAGTGATACAAATAATATAGTTTACATGTAATGGAACATTGGTAAGCACAAAAGAAAGCCACTAATATGCATTTCAGGCAGACTACTCCAGATGCTTTAATGTTACTTAGAATTCAGTGAGTTTGGAAAACAGTTTGATTTGTTTAGTCAGCTTTCTTATAAAACTCCTTTATATAGTGTAATTTTTTTTTTTTTTTTTTTGTATGTGGATTGAAAAAAAGTGCATCCAAAATTTAATAGCATATAAATAGGTCTTCATAGCAAATTCTATTCATTTTTCAAATCAGTTTTTGAAGTGCATTTGCAGTTAATGATTCTGTGTAGAATGGCTTTATATTGTAGATTTGCATTAAGTCAACACTGGTGAAGATGTAAACCCACTGAAACTCTATCTCAGTAAATATTGTTCAGCACAGTGTTTTGTTTCTTCACTAATTACTGTTGAGGTCACCACTCAAATGTAAGATTGATTATTGTCTACCTATTAAGGGTTCTAGGGGTGATTGACCCCTCTGTGGTCTAGTCCCGGACCAAGCCTCCTGGTTTATGAAGTGATCAGTTAAGCTGTTGTTGCTAGCAAAGCAGTCCAGTATAAGAAGCACAGCCTGGCCGACCGACTAGAGAAACCTGTCAAGCTTCCTCTTGAAGAAATAGTTCAACTCTAAAATGTGTAGATTCAGACTCCTTGAGATTCACTCTAAAAAATATACTAGGTTTGAGTTTATTTTGTGTTTCAGAGGCTGTATTTCTTTAAATAAAAATCTGGTTAATGTTGACATATAAAAAAAAATATTTTTTTTTTTTTAAGACACCGGCTGTCTCCCACCAAGACAGGTTAACCCCAAAAATGATGCAGTGCTTTTACAGCGTTTTCCTTCTTTTTACAAAAATTTATAGAGAAGAAGGGGTTACTAGCCCCTTGCTCCTGGCATGTTAGTCACCTCTTACGACACACATGGCTTATGGAGGAATGATAAGAAAGAATATTAATAATTAAAAAAATTTGGGCTTGGGAAATCCAGTATTTTGAACAAAGTTCAATGAACAATTTTCAGTTTAGGGACCATGTACCAGGCTAAAAATAATGGAGAAATTTATAATTGATCAATGGTTTTCATGAGTATTTTTTTTTTTTTCAATGAATCTGCTGTTTGACTGTAGTTAATAATGCTTTGAGCTAGATGAGACATTCACTTTACCCAATGAACAATATTCCGCTTGGATCACGTTACTGATGAATAATTTTATCCATTACCATCCTTAATCACAAATGTTATTCACTCTGGATACGACGGTGTAACGCTGAGAGTTGAAGATTGAGACACTTATGCAACATATGGGAATCTTTATTGAGGAAACGTAAGTGTCTCAATCTTCAACTTGTCATTTTTTTTTTTTTAACCATTGATCACAATGCTAAGAGTAACAACAAAGGGACCCAGGTGCAGAGCAAGCTTTCATTATGATGTTTCACCATGAAGAGTGAAACATTTCCATGCAGAGTGAAACATTTCCATGCAGAGTGAGCATCATCGCAAAAAAAAAGGCTTTCCCTGCACCTGTCGCTTTTTCTTCTTTCTTTCTTTCTTTTTTTCTTATTCGCTTAAAAAAAAATTTCTGGAGGTAGATGTTTGAGGACAAAGGTGTTGGTATAAACAAAATGTTATGTTGGTCTCTGCAAAAGTTATAATGTTGATGCTTCTCCTCTTAGTTTTAAAGTACCAAATTTTTTTTAGTGTTCATCTGAATTTTATATTTAGCACCAAACAACCATGTGTATAACGCACGGTACGGGTGGGAATTGAACTCGCAGCAAGTGAGTAGTAAAACTCCTGGCCAATGGGCCAGCTGGCTACAATAAGATTCATCCAACTGGGTATTTATATACCAGAGGGAGGTTAGCAGGGGCCCACTGTGACCACTAATGCAAGTTTTTAGAGATAAATCTACTACCAGCGTGGTCATGATGAGCTCTAGCTCGAGTCCCCTCAAAGCTGTCACTGTGACTCATGAAATTGTGATGACACGATTGAAACAAACTACAGTACAGCTGGCAGGAGATTCATCTGTAAAAAATTTGTATTTGTGGTCACAGTGGGACCTCATAGTAACCTCTCTATGGTGTATAAATATACTTAGATGGATGAATCTTATTGTAGCTAGCTGGCCCAATGGCTCATGCACTGGCCTGGAGTTTTATGACACAATTGTTGCGAGTTCAATCCCCACACATGCAATTGTGTCATTACGATTTTATAAGCCATGTATATGTATAGAAATATCTGTTGTTTAACCATTGTTGTATTGTATATCCATGGTTGTACTGTTATATAACCATGGTTGTAGTATTGCATAACCATGGTTATAAGCTGGTAGCCAGCTCATACTGTTTGGCCAGCCACCAAAACATTACATGTACAGTATTTGCAATATAAACAAATTCATTTACGTGTTTTATTTTGTAGCAAATTTACATTCTCAAGGGATCATATTTCACTGTAGAAGTGTAGTGAGGCCATCACACCAATGTGGGTATTGAAAAAGTAGCAGTGAAATCAACTTTGTTGAACGATTTTTGGTACCTAGTTGTACTTTTATACCAAAAGGCTTTCTATAAAGTAGTAATATATGTCAGTCACCCTAATTGTGCAATATAATGTATTTCACTTTATAGAAATAAAGTTTGTTAAAAGGCACAATGTATAAGGACATGGAAAAATGTTTTGGTCCTGGGACCTTGAACACTTCAAGATCCCAGGACCAAAATACTTTTTAATGAGTATATCATAGTGTCAGGTCATTTGTTGTTACCTAAACCACTTTGTTGGTATCAATTACAAATTTTTATATTGAGCACAATGTATACACCAAGAGGTGTATATCTCTGTGCATGTCATTCAGAGTTTATTGTAATCTCCTGTTCAACAGATTTAAATATTCATGATTAGTGACAAAAAAGTGACATATAGTCTTATGACCCTTGTGTATTGGTAAGGTTCAAGCCCATTTAACCAACTGACCAACCTAGTATTCCTTCAAGAGGGATGGCAAAAGGGATGCTTTCACATACAATACATTTTTATTTCTTTGCAAAGGTTACAATGTGTGATTTATATTTTATAAAATAAGTACACCTACCATCCGACTTACGACCTGCTCGACATACAACCACTCGACTTATGACCTGCTCGACATACAACCACTCGACTTACGACCTGCTCGACATACAACCACTCGACTTACGACCTGCTCGACATACAACCACTCGACTTACGACCTGCTCGACATACAACCACTCGACTTACAACCGTGTTTTTTATGCCAAATTTCTGGGAAATAAACAACTGTTAGTGTTGTACACAGTGTTTATCCTAAACCTTACAGTATAAAATACAGTACTAACAGCATAAAAGTAAAGTAAACAATGAAATACCAAAATAAAACAATAAAATAAAGTCATTACAAAAATGTTATGTTGATATTCAGTAGTAAAGTTCGACTTACGTCCATTTTGACTTACAACCAGTTGGTCGGAACCATGCTCGGTCATAAGTCGGATGGTAGGTGTACATACAAAGAAACTAGGTAGTAGGTTGGTAGATAGCAACCACCCAGGGAGGTACTACCGTCCTGCCAAGCGAGTGTAAAATAGAAGCCTGTACTTGTTTTACGTGATGGTAGGATTGCTGGTGTCTTTTCTGTCTCATAAACATGTAAGATTTCAGGTACGTCTTGCTACTTCTACTTACACTTAGGTCACACTTCACATACATGTACAAGCATATATATACACACCCCTCTGGGTTTTCTTCTATTTTCTTTCTAGTTCTTGTTTATTTCCTCCTACCTCCATGGGGAAGTGGAACAGAATTCTTCCTCCATAAGTCATGCATGTTGTAAGAGGCGACTAAAATACCAGGAGCAAGGGGTTAGTAACCCCTTCTCCTGTATATATTACTAATGTAAAAGGAGAAACTTTCATTTTTTCTTTTGTGCCACCCTGCCTCGGTGGGATACGACCGGTGTGTTGAAAGAAAGATTCAGACTTCTACTTACACTTAGGTCACACTACACATACATGTACAAGCATATATGTACATACACCCCTCTGGGTTTTCTTCTTTTCTCTATTAGTTCTGTTCTTTTTTATTTCCTCTTATCTCCATGGGGAGGTGGAACAGAATTCGTCCTTCGTAAGCCATGCATGCCGTAAGAAGCGACTAAAATGCCGGGAGAAAGGGGCTAGTAACTCCTTCTCCTGTATAAATTACTAAATTTAAAAAGAAAAACATTCGTTTTTCTTTTTGGGCCACCCTGCCTCAGTGAGATATGGCCGGTTTGTTGAAAGAAAAAGAAGTACAATGGTACCATGACTTATGAATGCCTCAACTTATGAGTTTTCCGAGTTACGAGCCTTTGCTCGGTCGATATTTTGCTTTGAGTTGCAAGCCAAAATCTGAGTTACAAGCGAGCTTCAGATACGCCACCACTAGTTGGCACAGTGAATGCCACAACATCCGCCCACGATCCCACATCTCACTCTTCAGTGCACATGGTTACCTCGCTCTGGAAGCATCTCTCATGTGTTGTGCTTGTGTTTTGTGCTTTTTGTGCAGTTATTTTGCCAAATTTCTTTTTTCTAACCATGGGTCCTAAGAGAGCAAGTGCAAAGGACAGTGCTGAGAAGAGGAGGAGGAGGAGGATGTCATAGGAAAACACGAGTGAGGTGTGCATGTAGTACTTCTATGATATGTACCATACTGAAGCAAGAGTCGATAAAGGCTATAACTAACCAGCCAAGGGCATTAAAATAATTTCACAATAATTACGCAAATCAACACAAATGCATCGATTAAGCGATAGAGTTTATGATGAACGAAAGCGACCAAAAAAGCACGATACAAAACGAACTCCTCCAATCTCCTCTGCCTATCTTTTCTACCATCCACCTCTGCCAGCATCTTATATCAGCCCAAGTCGTCTGATTTCCAAGGTAAATACACTTTATAAAACCATTTTATTTCTTTACTTTCTCTTTTATTATATTTTATACAATATTTCTTATTTATAAATACATTAATTTCAGTGAGGAAAATTGATTTGATATACAGTGGACCCTGGATAATCGTAAAGCTCGAAAGACGTAATTTTCGAAAATCGTAACGTTATTTTAGTCAAAACATTGACTCGCGGACCATCGTTCATCCCAGACGTGTACACATGGCTCTTAGCCGCGTCGCACTCCCTTCCCAGCCAGTGTGGCATTGTTTGCCAGTGAGTGACGGTCCCCTCACTTGTTCATACAAAATATTTCATGATATTCTATTCATTTTAGTGCTTGCAACTGCTAAATAAGCTTCCATAGCTCCAAAGAAAGCACCTAGTGCCAGGTTTTTGGTAAAGAAGGTGAGAAATACTGTACGATTGAATTTAACCCTTTGACTGTCGCAACCCCCAAAATTATTTTTTCTTATGAAATGATAGAGAATCTTTTCCCGATTGTAATGACACCAAAAAAACAAAATTTGATGGAAAACTGACGGAATTATGCTCTCGCGAAGTTAGCGACCTTGGCGATATTTACAAATCGGCGATTTCGCCCACTTTGAGCCCTATTTTCGGCTAATTCCGTTATTCCAGTCGACCAAACTCATAGCTATTTCTTTAGAACTCCATTTTTTCTATCGATTGAGTACAAGAAACTGCCCATTTACCGATTTCAACTACCCAATAATGTGGTCAGAAATTTGCAATTTGGCCAATTTCACGAAAATTAAAAAATATGACAATTTCAAAATAAGGTCCAGAATGAACAATGCAGACATTCCTGGCTCTAAAATAACATTTTCTTTGTTCATCAGTCATGTCTCCAGGCCCCTCTGATATTACTCTTGCTTTCTATTTTGAATTTTTATTCAAACAAAAAATAGAAGACTTACTATTATGCAGACTACTGCAATACTGTAATAATTGTATAAATAACATCAACCCATTCATGACTGCATATTAGAATGGCTAGTTGGACATTCATTGGACAATGGCATCATTTGTTTACTTTTGAACATTGGCAAAAATCAAACATTTCCCCTACTTTGACCTCCACTTCCAGGTTCTTTTTATAGTAAAATCAATCAAAGTCACCTCTATTTCTATAATATGTTTTCCATTCTATCAAATGAGACCAAGAAAATGAGAATACAACCATAAATACTATATGAAAATAGACCACAAAGTCGGCATTTTAATTAAAAAAAAACGGTCGGAGTTTTTTTTTTCTCATTATGCACTGCGTGCTCCAGGATTTTTTTTATATGGTGCACACTGACCACACAGACCCATTCTCTCACATGTGGGCCTACCAGCTTTCTCCTGCTTGATTTGAAGCTGCTAGAATTTGAGTATATGTACGTCAAACACGGTACCTCGTAAGACGTATATATATGGCCGCGACAGTCAAAGGGTTAAGAAAAACATCATTGAACAATATGAAAGTGGCGTACATGTGGCCGAACTGGCCAGGATGTATAAGAAACCCCATACAACCATACCTTCCATCGTGGCCAAGAAAAAGGATATCAAGGAAGCTGTTGTTGCACAGGGGTAAATATGCTGACAAAAATGAGATCACCAGTACTCGAAGATGTTGAGAATTTATTATCGGTGTGGATAAATGAGAAAGAATTAGCAGGAGATAGTCTTATATAGTCGCTTATTTGTGAAAAGGCTAGGCAGTTGCTTGACGATCTTGTAAAGAAACTGCCTGCAACGAGTACTGGTTTGAGAGATTTAAAAACTGTAGTGGCATACACAGTGTGATAAGGCATGGCGAGGCTGCCAGTTCAGACAAAATTGCAGCTTCAAAATTTGTAAGTGAATTCAAGGAGTACATACAGACTGAACAATTAAAACCTGAACAAGTGTTCAATTGTGACAAAACAGGCCTCTTTTGGAAGAAAATGCCAAAGAGGACCTACATACTCAGGAGGAAAAGGGACTGCCAGGACACAAGCCTGTGAAAGACAGGCTGACGCTCATGAGGATTTCAAAGTGAAGTCGTTACTAGTGTACCATTCTGAAAATCCCAGAGTTATGAAGAGCAAATTGTGTGTGTAATGGAAAGCTAATAATAAGGCATGGGTCACGAGGGAAATTTTTGTCGAGTGGTTCAATGAAGTGTTTGTCTCCAGTGTGAAGAATTTTTTTTTTTTTTTTTTTTTTTTTTTTTTTTTTTTTTTTTTTCAACAAGTCGGCCGTTTCCCACCGAGGCAGGGTGACCCAAAAAAAAAGAAAGAAAATCCCCAAAAAGAAAATACTTTCATCATCATTCAACACTTTCACCACACTCGCACATTATCACTGTTTTTGCAGAGGTGCTCAGAATACAACAGTCCAGAAGCATACACATATAAAGACACACAACATATCCCTCCAAACTGCCAATATCCAAA